GGTACTTTAGGGACAAGCATCCCTGCTTGGGTCCATTCTGAACCAAAAGTCAAAGTGGTTCTGCTCGCTTCCGGAGCTACAATCACCGAGCTCCGTGTTGAATGCTTCACTGCATTGCTCGTAGGTGATTGCCTTCTCGGCTTGGCTGTCGCGGACTTCAATAGCCCAGTTGATATGGATATATCCACCCTCGGGAGGCTCCGCCCAGTTTGGATTGCAACTAAGGAGACAAGTCCACCGATATTTCTCGTCAAGTGCACTGCACAAATCGTCATTGCGACTAGAGTAGCAGTGTGGGTTGGGGACCATGTTTTTCTCCCAGTTGGTACAAAGCCAGAAAGGCTCAGAAAGTCTGATGACTTTGCCGGCTGCCAGGCTGCAGGTAGTATGAATATCGTTTTTGACCTTATCGGTCAGGTCACTGCTTCTAGGACCGCCGTGGAGCTCATTGAAATCCAGACCCCCGATGTAGCAACCCAAAGCATTGACAGACTGGACATAGGCGGCAATGACTGCCAGAGAGGTCGGGATGATTTTGGCAATGGAAGGCATGTTGAATAATGGCAAGATTGTATCGTAGTAAGAGCGTGAAGTAGTGTTTAAGTGTATAAATAAGCAAATTTGAGAACGAAGGTTAAAGCCGTTTATACAAGTCCATCACGGCACCTCATATACCATTGCCAATGCCTTTTCATCCCTCTCTAGACTGCTCTATATTGGATGTCCATGTCCACCGGACATATAACATGTCATTTGCTATCTACAGACTCTTACGTATTTATCTCAGTGTCCACTGGACATAGTTGGCGACATGGTATTAAATCCTGCAAACCCTAAGTGTCACATTGACAGTCAATCACCATTTGTTGCGTTTCATATTGTGGTCCTATGAGTTATCTATCAGGGTAAGACTGCCAATGAGATCCCATGAACCTACAGTCCTCCTAGGCTGGACTGCTGCAGTAGTGGGCAATAGTGGAAATTAATAGAGCAGGGTCTGACGTAAGATAAGGTTACATTTATGTTTGTTGCTGTTGTGTGATTGCTCTTCTTAATCGCTAAGTCCGTTGGATAAGGAATACAGCCCTGTACTTATTGTGAACAATATTATACTTAGATATATAGTTATAAGCATATATTAACTTAATGTAAATACTACAGTCATACTAATCAGCAACCAGCAAGTAAGTAGACTTATAGTAATTAAACCCAAAACTATATCTCCAGTAAGGTTGAGTTCCTAAGTCGTATCGTGAGTTGTAAACTCTGGTCAATAAGACTGGCAAGGCATCAACCTCTCAGCTTAATACTTAGGAACCCCAGAAGTTGCACTTGATACAACCGATCTTGTCGTTCCAGTTCAAGCTGGTGAGATCACGATAGCCAGGATACGTAATGTCAAGAGCGGGAGCTCCGTTCTCGTTCCAGCACCCCTTGGGGTCGAAATGGCTAGAGAAGAGATCTGTCAGTCTCGAGGGCAATGCAACTAATTAAGAAGCAGGGGACTGGTTAGCATACTCCCAAGTCCAGCAGTTGGCGCCCCAGTTGGCTCCAATGCTCGAAATCCGGTTATTCAGGGCCAGGCCCTCGACGTTGAACCATTGGCCATTGGTCAACACGTAGTTGTCGCAGGGATCGACGAAGCCAATATTATCGCAAGCATAGACGTGGCCCGTGTTCTGTCGCTTCTTCTTTTCTTCGTCACTGCGAGTGTCATATACAGTCACCTTGGACGTGTCAATGCCGTAGAGGGTGGCAAGGTGGTTGTCACGGGGCGAGATGTCCTGAGCGGCATCAGGTGCAACTGGCGTGGCCAAGGCAGCTGTGGCGAAGGTTGCAAGAATATAGTTGGTGAAAAGCATTGTGATTGTGAAGTCAAGAGGTGAAGTCTGAGAAGCGGTGTTCTGTATGATGATTCTTCAGTGTTGAGTGTTGAGCAAAGTCTGAAGATGGTGGTGAAAGAAAGTTGCCATCATACAGCCGCCATCGCTCTATTTGTAGTCTACGGTGGTTCCGACTCATCGACACATGCACCACCGAGATTCTACTAGTTGGCGAGAATACCGAAAACCAAAACGACTTCAGTCAAAGCATGCTGATGATGCTATCTTTGCGACTGGACATATTTGAAGATGCACAGCCAGTCACAAGCGAATCTATGCGAGCTCTCCCGAACAGGATATATTTTTCATGAACACAGCAGAGAGCTGTGGTGTTCTAGAATCGCGGAAGTGGAGTTTAGGGCTGAGCTCACCGACCCCACGACTATTCATCCTTGATACCCCTAATAAGAGTGTAAGATCTGTTATGCTGCCTTGTCCTAATTTCGTAAGATTATATTGAAGTTTTCCCAGAGAGGTTAATGCAGCACAGTGGTTGATCCTGGGCAAGACCAGCCCTGCGGGCGTTATGGAGGACCGGATGGGGCTGGAAGTGAGAGAGTGATTGAGATGGGAATACACCAGAATACTCCCTCTTTCAGAATAGCTGTATAGATAGATACTGACGCATTAGGTCCTCATTTGTCTGATACTGAACGGCCGTCAAGGGGACTTCTGAGAACAACAATTAATCGCACCAATGCGCTTCATTGGTGCAGTCGCTGTAGAGAACCACAAGAAAGACGCAGGTCTAGGATAACTAGTAGCATTATGGAGGACAAAATAGACAGGCATACCTACTCAGACGGCTAAAGACCAACCTACAAGGGACCCCTCCCTCAAACTATAATAACATATAGATCTTTACGGTATCTATATTTAACCTAACGTAGTAACATGTCAGATGTAGCCAACCCTGCAGGTAAACCCGGGGTTTATTGGAAATTATGTCTAGATTGTCTATTGCCCCACCCACAAAAGGCCCTTTAGTCATAAATTACCATGATAGCCTTCCCTGCTAATCGACGATGACATGACCATCTGCACTTGGGAAAATCCATTCACATCGTCACAGTCACAGGGCTGGAACATAATCCAACTATTGTTGTCGAGGACGAGGCATGTGCTGATGGCGGCAGCAGAACACCCCTCAAGAAGCGAGACCTAAATAACCATTCCGACAGTAAAGCCAGCCTAGGTACTATAAATATTCATGAAATTCATCACGCGCGACTACTGCAGAACTTGGGCTTTAGCTGTTGTACATATCAATAGTCACCAATCAAGTCAGCCAAAAGCCAGCGCAGAGGTCTCCAGAATTTTATTCCACTGAGCCACGCCAATTGCCAACCAGGATAGCACAAGCGACCCAATCATACGGTTTCATCAACTGGGCCAGTGTCCAACCTCAAGTCGTAATGAACAAGCTCTACAGCCCCTGCCAGAAAGCCATATGTAATTCTGCACTACAGCGTTATGCGACAACAGTGGTACGCAGCCGTAACTGGTGGAAAGGAAGTCGAGCGCCTAAGGAGTCGACTCCAACCATCAATCATCTAGAATGGTAACTCGGATCGGAGGTGCTGTCTCAGAAGATCTGTAAGTGACCGCATTGTTATCTTTAGCTCGAACAAGTTTTCCAGCTTTCAGAAAGTGGAAGACTGTCTCACCCAGAAGCTCCTGTCCCCTGAAGCCTATGGGTTGATGGCAAACCTTCCTCTGCACTATGGAGCCGCGCTCTATGGTCTGGGAATACTGGCGGAGCTTGAAGCTGGAAACCTGCTCTTATTCTTCCCGGATCCGGCACTGTAGGGATCAGTGTTGTGAAGCCATTCTGGGGAGGGCTACTTTATGTCGCTGTGCGTGACGCCTCTAAGGCCAAGACGAGGAAGATGCTTTTTGACTGCCTAAAAGTCAGATTTTGATCGACTATTTGACTATTATGTTGAGTGAACTGAACATTAACATAGTATTCTCAGGGGAGTCCACCGATCCCGTTGCGTAACGAGAGTCATAGAGAAACATACCATACAATGCATGGCTCAGGAGTAAACTGACTCTGCTGCACGAGAGATACTTGGAGTACACGGGGGGGTCCAAGACAAAGACTCTAAGAGAATGGTCAACAATAGGAGCATCCGCGATTATAGTCATGACAGATATGGCAGTTGTTGATCAGAACTTGAATATTGAGGCCCTCCTTCTTGGCCAGGGCTGATTCATCTAATCGTCGTCCTCAACATGCTTGGTAGTCGAAGCACCAGGGTCGTGATTGTCATCACCGTTAACTTGGCCATCAATATCGTCGTCCTCATCTTCGGTCTCAACTTAGGTAACCATAATCTCGTCCACCCCCATCTCTCTCTGAGTATTCTGAGTCTAACCATGATATTAACACAATTTACAATATCTTTCCATATGGTGCCCGAGCAGTCTGGATACAATTTCCACTACTCATCGCGCGAAGGACAACTATTCTAGCCCTGTATTAGTTCTAAAATTACTTTCTTTGTCGTAATTGGAGTTGCAATTTTCATCAGATGATCGACTCGTCGTCGTTCGGCCTGGCTTACGATTCGCCGTGATTATTCGGTCAACCAAGGATATATGGGTTAACCGTCAACGGGGAGTTCATAGATTCTTAAGGGAGAAACCTGCTAGCGACCTAATTTCGAACATAAAATCCTTCTAGGTATATAATAGTCGCTGTCATTATTCCAAAAAACGCCGCTCTATGCACGCCGCCTCTGCAGTAAAACTCAATACTACATGTGATTTTACTGCATTACCCACCGCGATCCACCATCCCAAACCGAGTAAGTACCCTCTGGACAATGTATGTCCCGCTGACTAAAGCAGGCTGCCCTGTCAGCTCCATATGGCGCTACAAAAGGTGCCGTGCGAAACATGACACACACACTAGCTATGGAGCGGCAGCAATATGCCTGTCAAACCTCAAGACAGCTGAGAAGGGAGGCTACAGAGTCGTTGCGCCGATAGCCTATAATATTGAACATATCATAGCTTTTGTACGTATTGCTAAAGCTAAGCGCAACCCCTTTATTATTTAACTTTTCCCGGGGTAATTACTTTCTCTAATGGACTTCTTATTTATACAGCAGCGCATGCTGCACGTGAGGCTGCTATTCCTATAGCTAACGAATGCCATAGGATGGATATGTCGTCGAAATTATTCCTCAAAAGAGAGATCGGTACGAGAAGAGCGTCAGTGCTGAGTGTCACAGGCGAAGCCGCCTTGAAAAACTTTGGACATAGCTTTGTAGATGAGTAAGCTCTTCTCTTAAAGAGATTGGTAATTGAATAACTGGGTGAACTCTCTGAAGGGTATTTTGCCAAAATTTGACCAAAGTTCCTTTGAAACAGTTCCTAGTCTTCGATGCTTGGCAGACAGGGAAGAAAAGTTTCGTGAGTTTGTGATAGCCAGTGTGCACATGGGCGCAGGGGGTAGAGCTTTAAGAGACCTTATATTGTCTAAGCTAAATGGATCATAGTGAGTCACTTTTATGTAAAGCTGCTTAATTTTTTAGACAAGAGAAATGAAGCTACAGTGCATTAAGACCCGGTTGGTCAGGTCGGACCATTGACTTCCCGACAGAGTTTCATCAATTCTCCCTCAAGCTCTATAGGACGTGGTATCAGTTACTGTAGGACCTGCTCCTTTAGCTGCGCTTGGGTTTGCTGACAGACACCATTGTTATTTCTGGCCTCTCCTCCTACTTATTTATCCCAAGGAATATTGCAGCCGGACTCTACGATAATGTTGATAAGGGTGGCAAGAATCGGTATCACTAGAGCGGCAACAACAACAGCTACCGAAACATCCCGTTCGGATATCGGATCAAACGGTGCATCAAGACTCAATTAATGTGCCATCGGATCCGAAAGATACACCAATGGCAGGATTGATAGATCTGGAGCTTGAGGGTCTCGACCCAGATAGTTTTCGGTGCAGCAGTTTCCAATTGGTCCTCAATGCACCATTCATTTAGTCTAGAGGTTAATTCGTTTATTCTAAACCATTGCCGTAGCAATATGCCGTATAGTATGGTATGCTTGCCAATTTGTCAATACGGGAATGACCACGGGTGGAAGAATAAGATTTCAAGTTCCAAGATTTATTGCCTGCATGATGACAAATGTTGCATAGATCGGACTAAACAACCACCGATGCCCCGATATTGCCTGGTCTGGTAACAAGTACTCGTGGATCTATCAAGAAGTGGCCCCACTTAAAAAGTCAGATTCGCAGGTTGAGTTTTAACTTTCCGCGGACTCGGACTCCATGGAGACTGTCCAGCGTCAGGAGTGCCCGGTTGTTAGTGAATGGTGTACTACGTGTCGCAGCTGGTATGACGATTCACAGTACTGATACGCAGATGTCTAGGATATTGGGCCTTGCCAGGATGGCCATTGAATTTCATTGATAGTCATATTGTATCCCTTCAACTTGCTACATTGTCTCTCACTCCGCGCTTCCACTCTCACATAGGCAACACAGGAATTACCTGGCAAATATCGCGCCGTATACTCACTAGAACAAACAAAGAGTGAAGGCCTGTAACTTAAAAGTGCGAGCTAGCATATCTAAATTCAGCAACAACTATCTAATTCAACCAGTCCACGTTCGAAGCAACAATGGCAGATTCCGAAGAGAAACCTCGCCCCAACGACGCCGAATACACTAAGACGAAAGCGCTGCCACACTGCCGGCTGGTCATCGATCAGGCTGGCGTTACGCCCGAGGTTCTTGCCTACGACTATCAAGGGTCCGGTACCGAACAAGACCCTTTTGTGGTTCAATGGATTCCACACGACCCAAGAAATCCCCAGCAATGGAGCGACTCTAAGAAATGGTTTATAACAGCAGCCGTTGCAACAGCCACTTTGACTGTTAGTCTGGTATCATCGGCATATACAGGAGGCATGAAACAGATCATCCGAGACTTCCACCTCAGCGAGGAGGTAGCAACTTTGGGCATCTCTCTATTTGTCCTGGGTTTCGCTCTCGGGCCTTTGCTTTGGGCACCACTTAGCGAGATCTTTGGCCGTCAGCTACTGTTTATTGGAACCTATGCTGGCCTTACAATCTTCAATGCAGCCTGTGCTGGTGCTCCTAATGGGGCTTCGCTACTGGTCTTCCGGTTTCTAGCTGGCTCTTTTGGTTCTTCTCCCTTGACCAATGCTGGAGGAGCTATAGCTGATATGTTTCCGCCCCATCAACGAGGCCTAGCGATGACGCTCTTTGTGGCTGGACCGTCCCTTGGTCCAGTCTTGGGCCCAATTTGCGGTGGATTCCTTGGGATGAATGCTAGCTGGCGTTGGGTAATGGGATTCCTTGCGATTTTCGCTGGGGTTATGTGGATTGGAGGAACCATCCTCATCCCAGAAACCTATGCCCCGACACTACTGAGGCGCCGGGCTGCTAAACTGTCTAGTATGACTGGCAAAGTGTATACCAGCACCATTGACTTGAAACAAGGGAAGGTTTCTTTGCGCAGTGCTATTGGCACCTCCTTGCTGAGGCCGTGGATTCTCCTCTTCAAAGAACCCATTGTTCTTCTATTATCGATCTATATGGCGATTATCTATGGTACCCTCTACTTGTTCTTTGCCGCGTTTCCAGTCGTTTTTGAACAGGCTCGGGGTTGGAGTCAGGGTATCGAAGGTTTAGCATTTTTGGGCATAGCTGTGGGTATGCTGGCGGCTTTGATTTATACGATCCCTGACAACAAGCGTTATGTCCTCCTCGATAAAAAACACAACGGTTTTGCACCACCAGAAGCTCGGCTCCCACCAGCAATAATTGGCTCTTTTGCCATTCCAGTGGGGTTGTTTTGGTTTGCTTGGACTAATTATCCATCCATTCATTGGATCGTCAGCATCATGGCTAGTGCTCCTTTCGGCTTTGGTCTGATTCTGGTGTTTCTAAGCATCATGAACTATCTGGTCGATGCATATACGATCTTTGCCGCTTCGGTTCTTGCCGCTAATTCGATCCTACGCTCCTTATTTGGTGCAGCCTTTCTGCTATTTACAGTATAGATGTATGACAACTTGGGGCTGCATTGGGCATCAACCGTCCCAGCATTCCTGGCATTGGCCTGCGTTCCGTTTCCCTACCTTTTCTACGTATATGGAGCGCGCATCCGGACTCATTGCAAATTTGCAGCTGAATCGGACGCCTTTATGCAAAGTTTGAAGCAGGCCCAGGCCCAGAATCAACGAGAACAGGAGTTAGAGGAGCAGGATAACAGTACCGAGGACGAGCGTACAGTCGTTGACGAAGGAGTTATCATTTCAAGCCATAGACGAACATCCTCGGTCCATCGTCAATCTTCACTATATGATGGCAACCCCTACGACATTAATCGTGTTCACACGAGAAATTCATTCTCTTAGCCTTTTAGGAAAACCAGCTTAGCTCAGCTTTGATTGGGCCTAAGTATGACTTTTTAAACTTTAGGTTCTTAGTGCACTTCTTTGCCTAAGTAGACTTTCTAATTTTCCATTTCTATTTTCTTTCTCTCTATGTTTATTTATTAAGGTTTTATTAATATTAAACTCTTAAATAACTACTAAGAATATAAATAAATATTATTTTATTATAATTTAATTTAATTAAAGCCTATTATAAATATTAGATCTTATTATTACTTTATCTTTTATTATTTAAATAGTTATTATTCTTATTTAAATAATTAATTATTTATAAGTGTTACGACCCCAGCGGTTACATCACGTGTACCCCGCATTTTCCTCCAATCACGCACATGCCCCACAAAACGGATCAGTGCCAAGACTCTACGATCATAGATGATCCATCACGATCAGTGTTGATCCACCACGATCACCACTGATCCCGCGACAACCTCACTGATCGCTATTATCATTCACTAGTAT